GTAGTAGTAGTAGTAGCAGTAGCAGTAGCAGTAGCAGTAAGCAGTAGCAGTAGCAGTAGCAGTAGTAGTAGTAGTAGTAGTAGTAGTAGTAGTAGTCGTAGTAGTAGTAGTAGTAGTAGTAGTAGTAGTAGTAGTAGTAGTAGTAGTAGTAGTAGTAGTAGTAGTAGTGGTAGTCGTAGGAATAGTCGGGGTCGTATGTGGGCTGCCCGATCCCTGTGCAAAACTAGCCACGCCCAAGCATCCAGACGCCTCCGTGGACCTCTGAAGTCCTCCGCGGCCCGTAGGCAGTAGGCCCGCGAAGCGCGGTTTGGGGGTCCACCATTGGGTATCGATTTTCTTTCAGTGTGCTGGGTTGGCCGCGCTTCAGCGCTCGTGTACAAGTCGAGCTTGTGCGCGCAGCCTGCGCTTCTCCTTCAGCCCTGTTGTCGACCTTTGTGTCGCCCGTGGAGTGAACAGCAGGTGGATCTGAGAGGGTGTGTGGTGCAACGGGTGCAACGCAAATGGGCAGAAGCTGCGATCCCGTCCAGATCTGCACTCTGCTCGGTGGCGCCTGGAGCCACCGCGTGTCAACGGGAGGGACTACGTCGACCGTGGGAGCTTCAACCTGGAGACAATTTGTGTGCTGTTTGCCCTCAAGGTGAAGTACCCCACCCAGATCCACCTCATCCGAGGTAACCACGAGGACTGCACACGGGCAGAGGCAGGAGCAGGATGAGGCCCTGGAGAGCCGTAGGGATCACGGCGAATGCTGTGTGGGGAAGGGGCGGGAGAGGAGGAGAGCGAGAGGGTACCGGTTCCGGTGCCCTGGTGCCAGTTCAGTTGCCGTGGTCTCGTTCTCATCCTTTTGGGCCTCTTGGGATGTCCTCGTCGCCACGGCGGGATTCGTTTCGAAATTCTGGTCAGAACGCACCCCGGGAAAGGTACGGGAGGGGCAGTATCGGCATCTTGCTGGTCCCCGAAAGCAGGGGGACAACGAGGAGGAGGGAGTGCGGCTGGAGATGGCTTTGGAAGCCATCGGCTGACAAGCCAGCAGCTGACCAGCCTCCCTCCCGTCTTGCCGACAGACCACCTGCCCAGTCTGCCTCGCCTCTCTGACTGCCCGCCGGACTGTACAGCAGAAAAGGCGACCCAGCGCTAGCTCGCCAGGCCCTCGCTGACCCTCGTGTGGCAAGACCGTTGACCGTTGGCCATTGGTTTCGGAAGCCCGGGAATGCCTGTCGGCGGCGAGCGAGGGGAAAGTGAGAAGGAGCAGGCCTTCTCAGAAGGCTCGGGGGCAGTATTCGGACAAGTTTTAAAAGTATTTCCAGAAGGCGCAGACTTTCTTCTCAGAAGGCGCGAGGGCTTCTGAGAAGTCCCGCCGCCTTCTGAGAAGGCCTACTCCTTCTCACTTCCCCCCCTCGCTCGCCGCCGAGAAGAGGATGCAACTGTGATCTTTTGAGCCAGATATTCCAGCAGCCGAGCCATGGAGGCTTCCTGTGTGCGGCAGCATTTTGCCGAATGAGGGCGAGGAGCCAGTGGAGGAGCGAGAGAGTGAGGAGGTCGGAGAGGAGAAGGCGGATGATGATGACGATGATGATGATGATGATGATGATGATGATGATGATGATGATGATGATGATGACTATGATGCTGATGTTGCTGCTGCTGATGATACTGATGATGCTGATGCTGATGATGATGATGATGATGATGTTGACGATGACGGTGCTGCTGCTGCTGATGGTGATGCTAGTGATGAGGATGATGATGATGTTGTTGATGCTGATGTTGATGATGATGATGCTGATGCTGATGATTATGATAATGATGACGCTGATGATGGTGGTGGTGGTGGTGATGCTGCTGATTCTGATGATGTTGCTGCTGCTGCTGATACTGATGATGATTTTGCTGATGATGATGACGATGACGATGGTGCTGCTGCTAATGGTGATCCTGCTGCTGCTGCTGATGATGATGATGATGATGATGTTGATGATGATGATGCTGCTGCTGATGATGATTGTGGTGGTGGTGGCGGAAGTGGTGGTGGTGATGGTGGTGGTGATGATGATGATGATGAGGATGAGGATGACGAATATGATGATGATGTTGATGATGGCGATGATGATGATGATGCTGATGATGATGATGATGATGAGGATGATGATGATGCCGATGATGATGATCATGATGATGATGATGATGATGATGATGATGATGATGATGGTGATGATGATGATGATGCTCATGCTGATGCTGATGATCATGATGATGATGATGATGATGATGATGATGATGATGATGATGATGATGATGCTGATGATGATGATGATGATTATTATTATTATTATTATGCTGAAGCTGATGCTGATGCTGATGCTGATGCTGATGCTGATGCTGCTGATGATGATAGTCTTGGGGAGGAGGATACTGATGCGGAGCATAATTATGCTCATGCTGCGAAAAGGGAAGCGGGAGAGATTTGGACATAGAGTCAAGGAGGATAGCCTCGAGATAC